GGAGGAGGAAAAATGCTGTAATTTTCCTTTTATTCCTGTGGAAAAGAAGTTTGGGGACAATTAACGGGACCAAGGTTAGGCAGGAGTGTAAAAAACCTGCATTTAGGCCCAGCTTTGCATCCTGCTCTCTTCCTGGCAGCAAAGTACTTGAAAGCAATGCCAGGTGGGATCAGGAGCTTTAGGAGTGCCTGTTTCCCCAGTCCCAGTCATTTGGGAATGCTCCAGCATCACGGGATCATGAGAACCAGAGCAGCTCACCCCAGCAGCAAAAATTGGGATGAGCAATAAAAATAATCCCAGAATGGTTTGGGGTGGGAAAGACCTTAAAGCCCAGCCTATTCCACCCCTGCCATGGGCAAGGGCACTTCCACTGTCCCAGGCTGCTCCAAGCCATGTCCAGCCTGGCCTTGGACACTTACAGGGATCCAGGGGCAGCCACAGCTACTCTGGGCACCCTGTGCCTCACCACCCTTTTATTTATTTATTTACTGGTTTATTTTTATTTTATTTTATTTTATTTTATTTTATTTTATTTTATTTTATTTTATTTTATTTTTTTACTGTGTTAATCACTATTTATTAATAAAGACTGGTTTATTTATTTATTATTTTATTTTATTTTTAATGCTTTTATCACTATTTATTAAAAAATATATGCATTATAATATTGTTAATATCAATAATAATAATTAGAATTTCTATCCATTATATCATTCACAGCAATAAATAAGGATGACTAATAATAAAGGGGAAGAATCTAATCTGTGGGCTCATGGAAGAGCTCTCTGCCCTCCTCACAAATTCCCATTGTGCTTCCAGTGTTCCATCACTCAGGGAGGGACATGGGATTGCTCCTGTTCACCTGGGGGGTGTCCAGGCTCCTAACTCACCTTCCAGCAGTGTTTTAATGTCATTTCTGAAGAGTTTGATGGTCTTGGTGAGCTTCCCTGCCTGAAACCTCGCACCAGTGTCTGAGGGAAGCAAACACAGGCTAAGCTGAAATAAACAGAATGGTTTATTAGAGCAAATATTCCTGGGCTGAGCTCTCCATATTCAAACACCCTCGTGCTGAAATGTCTCAATTTTGCTCTGCCAGGCCAGCATGAGGGTTTTGTGGTTTTTTTGCATGGTGTGTGTGTGCAAAGTGCTTAAAGGACCTCACAGCAGTGGCTTTATGCTGCTCAGACACAAATTCTGGTGATGTGGGGGTAATTCCCATTGAAGAAATTCCAGGATGGGCCTGCCTAAAACAAAGCACACAACACTTGAATCGCTGTGGGATTTTTTCTTTCTTCTGGCAGGGGTTTATAGCCTGTTTTAAAGGGGTGGTCTGTCGCAGACATCTTTTCATGAAGAATCCTTTCTTTAGGAATTTTTCCTCCTGAGAAGCTGAGAAGCCTCAGGAACAAAATGTAAACATTGATTATCTGCTGCTGGGGAAGGCATCAGGCGGATCTGTGATTGGTTTCATGTTGGATGTTTGTAATTAATGGCCAATCACAGTCAGCTGGCCTGGACACAGAGCCTGTGCCACAAGCCTTTGTTATCATTCTTTGCTATTCTATTCTCAGCTAATCTTCTGATGAAATCCTTTCTTCTATTCTTTTAGTATAGTTTTAATGTAATATACATCATAAAATAATAAATCGAGCCTTCTGAAACATGGAGTCAGATCCTCGTCTCTTCCCTCATCCAAGAACCCCTGTGAGCACCATCACAGGTGGTCATCCTCAACCACCCCCCAAAATTTGGCCAGAAGCTCCTGGAGGTGCTGTGCTGTAGCTGCCAGTGCCCTGCTCCGTGCTCCAAGTATCCAGCGCCCTCCGGATTGCATTAACCGGGATGATCCTTTTAAAGATCCTTGCTTGGGGAGCAAATCCCATTTGAAATAAAGCAGAGGGATTTGGCTTAACGAGGCAAAGCCAGCGAGGAGAGGCAGAAGGAGCTGTGGGGCTGGCACAGCACAGGGCAAGGCAGAACCTGCAGCACAGGAGCTCCCAGGGTAGAAGAGATGTCAGGAAGGAGGAGGAGTGTGGAAAACGCCAATCACTTGTTTTTAAAACTTTAGAAGTTTAATAGTAATAAAAGAGTTATAAAAATAGTAACACAATTAGAGTAATAATAATTTGGACAATATGAGACAATAGAAACAAAGAGTTACGGACGTCTGGGTACCTTTTTCTGGGCAGCCCAAGCCCTAGAAAGGACACATGTTTACAAAGGATTAACCCTTAAAAACAATAACCTGTTGCATATTCATACACTTCAAACATGGTGCATAAATTCCATTCAAACACAGGATTCTGTCTGGTCAGCGTCAACTTCTTCCTCCGAATCCTAACAGCACCTTCGAGGAGGGAAGAAGTTAATTTCTTCTGATAAAAGAGCAATAAATTCTCTTTCTCTGAAAGATTCAGGTGTCCTGTGGCTGCTATCTCACGAGTCCTTTCTTTACAAAAAGCATCTCACATAGCATCGCTTCTCTTTTAACAATTTTTATAACCTAAAACTATATTTAACACACTACTTAAGAGAATTAATACAGCATTACTTTCTAACACAACACAAACAATATTCATTTGAATATTTGTGAAAAGCCAATCATAGAATACATGCATTTTCATAAGGTTAAAATAGAAACTATGCTATATAAGATGCTTTTTTATAAAGCAGAGAGCAGCACCAGAGAGCAGCCACAGGACACCTGAATCTTTCAGAGAAAGAGAATTTATTGCTCCATTATCAGAAGAAATGAACTTCTTCCCACCTCACTCAGCCCTGAAGATGCCGTCAGGATTCAGAGGAAGAAGCTGACGCTGACCAGACAGAATCCTGTGTTTGAATGGAATTTATGCACCATGCATGAGGGGTATGAATATGCAACAGGCTGTTGCTTTTAAGGGTTAATCCTCTGCTAATGTGGGTCCTTTATTTTGCCCAGAAAAGGTACCCAGATGTCCATAAATCTTTGTTTTTATTGTCTCGTATTGTCCTAAATCCTAATTGTCCAGATTATTATTGCTCTAATTATATTACCGTTTTTATTTTGTTACAACTAAAGCATTTTATTTTCCCCTTTTAAACCTCCCCCAGCTCCATGTGGTGCCCAAGGAACCAAAGTCCAGCTCCCCTGGCTCACAGATAAGCCCAGGGACACAATGTCAGCATGTACACCTCCTGACCAGCTGGAAAACGCCCAAAAATCAGCTGGAAAACCCCCAAAATTCAGCTTCTGCCAGGTGGGATCAGTGAGGACAAATCCCTTCAGGCTAAGGAAGGTGTGGGCACTGCTGGGCTTTCAGATCCATGAAAGCAGGAGGAGCACACGGTGTCCCATGGAAAACGGGGCAGGAGATGGGCAGGAGCATCTCCAGGAGCATTGGGATGTGTGGCAGAGGGACAGGAGCCCATCATGGGTGAGGAGGGAGCCCATGGGGAGCACGGCACCTTCCAGAGGCTCTCTGCAGGGTCGGGGGGCAGCTGAGCAATGCACAACTCAAAAATCCTGGAATGTCGCGGTCCAGCTCAGCTCCGAGGGATTTCTGAGCCTGGACAGCAGCTCAGCAGCTCTGGATGAGCCTTTGGGCTCAGAGAGCCATGGAATCTCCTGAGCTGGAAGGGACCCACAAGGATCATGGGGTCCAACCCCTGGCCCTGCACAGACACCCCAACAATCCCACCCTGGGCATCCCTGGGAGGACTATCCAAATGTTCCTTGGGCTCTGGCGGCCTCCCCATTCCCTGAGGAGCCTGGGCACTGCCCAGCACCCTCTGGGGGAAGAACCTTTTCCTAAAATCCAACCTAAATATGCCCTGGCACAGCTCCAGCCATGCCCTGGGCTCCTGTCACCCCTCAGAGCCCCCAGTGCTGATCCTGCAGAGCAGACACCACATTCTCCTCACCCCACAAACCTCAGGCAGGGTGAGAACACCCCAAGCCCTTCCCAATCTCACTTTCACAAGTCAGGCTCATTGTTTCCCCTCTGGCTGCCTCATCATCATTTTAAAAAAAATTTTAAAAAAATTAAAAAATAAAATTAAAAAAAAAGAAAGTCGTTTGCCACCCAGCTCCACCGCTCCCCCCCTCGAAATGTCACGCTGGGTTTCCTGTGTCAGCAGCCACCCAGGAGCAGAGGCAGCCTGGAGCTCTGTCTGCAGCATCCTGTTCCCAAGTGCTGCTTTAACCCCTGCAGACCTGGCTCTCTGCCACCGAGGCCACCACCCGTACAAAAAAAAAAAGCCACAATGAGCAAAACCGGGAAATTTCTCTCTGCGTGGAGTGAAAATCCACGTTTCTCTGACACGGATTTCACATCAGAGGAGGTGGTGGAACAAAATCCCCCCCCCCTCCCTTCACCAAAAAGTATCCTCCTCCTCCTCCTCTCTCACAGGCAGCAGCAGAGATGCAGAGACATTAAGTGACCTGCCAAAGAGCTCAGATTTCATTAACCAGCAAATTACGGAAGTCCCCCATGTCCTAGCAGGCTGCCATGTGACACTGGATCCTCAGCAGGTCACTCCTCTGTCCCCTTGTCTCCTCTCCTTCAAACCACACACCAAACGCAGCACTGATACTGAGAAATGAGCAGAACACTGGGTTTTGGTTGGTTTTTTTTTGTTGTGGTTTTTTTTTTTTTTATCAGGCCCTTTCATTGTATAAATAATTTATTTCAGTTCACAGCGTTATGTCTGCATCTTTAAAAAAACAACAAAAAAAAAAAAGAAAGAAAAAAAAAAAGGAAGACAAGAGACTGATGGACAATGGCAAGGGCAGGACATGGGATATCATGGATGGGAACACACAGGGAATGATGGACCTGGGGGAGTGAGACCTGCCAAAAAACCCAGGTCATCCAGAATCTGAGAGGATGCACAGAGCCCAGACAGTTCCCCTTGGGGGCTACCCTGCTGGGGCCCCAATTCCTGCAGCCCACCGAGGGTGATGCTCACCTTCACACAGGGGGGAACATGATGGAAACACCACGGAAGCCAGGAGCTGCTCGTTGGAAAGGTCTTTTTAATTATTGCAGGAAGCGGAGCGGCCGGCAAGGGCGCGGGCACGGCGTCCCACCCGTGCCTCCCAGCCCTCTGCCATCTCTCCAAGGGGATGCTCAGCTGTTCCTGGGTGGAACACAGGCTCCCAGGAAGGAGCCAGCTCCATAAAAAAACAGCCTTTTTCCATCTGCTAAACCAGGAGGTAAAAAAAAAAGCCCACCACCACCGTGTCATTCCTACAACCTGCTGGCCCTGGAGCTGCTGGGGTCAAACACAGCTTCTACGTTTCTGCCAAAAACGGGTTCACACACGTGGCTTCTGTGGCATCAAAAATAAATAATTATTTTTTCTTTTTTTTTTTTTTTCCTTTCTCTCTCTCTCTCTCTCGACAGCAAGTACCAAAGTGTTGGAGGTGAGGACAAAGCAGGGAAAGCCGAGGGAGCGGGAAGAGAGCCACCTGAAGGGATGGGACCAGCCCACACACATCGGCGACTCAAACCCCACAAGAGGAGAAGAAAAAACTCCTGCTGCAACATTTCTTCCCTAACAAACCCCCTTCCCACCCCCCAAAAATGCTGTTTGGGGAGGATCAACACCCCTGAACCCGAAGGGCTTTTGTCTGCCTGGCGCTTTCCCCTTGGCTGCTCTGGTGTAAAATCACCAGAAAATGCTGCCTGCCTCCAAATCCAGCACATGTGGCCCCCAAGGGCTGCCTGCTCCAGCTCTGTGGGAAGCCAGGACCCTGAAATCCACAGGATTTTGTGGATCGACAGGATTTTGAGTGGATTTTGATGCCCAGCCCCGTGCAGGTATGAAATGTTCACCTGCAGGAGGGGCCAAGGCACAGCTTGCACAGCAGGCACAGCTTGCTCCTGTGGCTACTGGGGGCTTTAAATCGGGTTTGAATCTTTATTAGAAACCTACCACAACCCTCCCCCCATGCCATCTTCCCTTTCCAGCAGAGAGAGATTTTTTGCAGGCTCTGTCTGTCTGTCCGTCCATCCATCCATCCTGCCCTGCCATGACCCTCCCTGACTTGGCCTCCCGCCCCACTGCAGAGCAGCACAGCGGGCAGAACCCCGAATTTTGCCTTTTTGGGGGGGTTTTGCTAAATAACCCTTGGTTTGGATCCCCTCCAAAGCCGCACCTGAGCACTTGGACAATGCCCACCTGCGGGGGCTCTGCTGCAGAAGGCGACAGCGCCGAGCCTCTGAGAAACGGGGGTCCTGCACGGCCCCCCCAAGGCTCCCAGCAGCGCTCACCCCGAACCCTCGGGTCCTTTTTCCATCCTCTTTTTTTGAGCCAACAGCGCTCTGCACCATTCAGCAGCCGCTCGGCACCCCAGTGTCGCATCCTCCCCGCCAAGCCAAAGGCTGCCCGTCCTTGCTCTGCACCCTAAAACACCAACCAGGGTGGGTGCGTGTCCCCTTACCCATCACACCCACCCTCTCCAAGACATTTTCTGCTGGTCCAAACACCCCCCATCCAAGCTTTCAACACCCCTTCCCAGGGATGGATGCGGGGATGCAGGGATGAGGGCTGCACGCCCCCTCCCCGCTGACCTTGCCGAGTTCATCCTCACCCCCCGCCCCAAAATGCGTGTGGGGGGGGGAGCTGGCACCGACACCCCCAAATCCCCCCTTAGAGATCCAGAAGCACGCTGGGCTCCGCTCGAACGCGCTCCAGCAGGGTCCTGCCCTGCTGGTTCCCCGGCACACAAAGGCTCGGTGGCGGTCCCGGAGATGCAGAGAGTGGGGGGATTCATTCATCCCGGGGGGATCCATCCCGGTTTTCCATGTTTCCAGCCCAAGGGAGTCCGGATCAGAGCCTCAGGAGCACGGGAGAGGGGAGCTCCGGGATCTGGGCTCGGCTGGCGGGAGCCGCTTTGTTATCACCACTATTGTCTGTCTTTTGGGGAAGGAAGGGGGGAAAAAATGAAGAAGGGGAGGAGAAGAAAAAAAAAAATTTAAAAAAAAAAGGAGAACGATTAAACCCAAAAGAATCGCTTTGGTTCTGTCTCCCCCTCGGTTCCTTTGTCTGCTCCCCCATCCCTCCCCGCCTCGGCTGGGGCTTCTACCGCTTCTTCTTCTGCTTGAGGGACTTCCTGCGCTTGAGGATCATCTCGTAGAGCTTGTCCATGCCCTCCGTGAGCCCCTCGCCGATGATGGCACAGGCGGGCTGGATGTGGTAGGTGGTGGAAGGGGTCAGCTCGTGGAGGGCCAGCTGCTTCTCGATCTCGGCCACGGGCAGCGACTTGGGCAGGTCCTGCTTGTTGGCGATGACCAGCAGCGGCGTGCCCTGGTTCTCCGCGAACTTGGTCACCTTGTGCAGCTCCGTCTTGGCCTCCTCCAGCCGGTCCACGTCCACTGAGTCCACCACGTAGATGATGCCATCGGTGCAGCGGCTGTAGGACTTCCAGAGCGGGCGCAGCTTCTCCTGGCCGCCCACGTCCCAGAAGTGGCAGCTGATGCCCTTGGCCGTCCCGTTGCTGAGCCGGATCTTCTCCGTGTTGAAGCCGATGGTGGGCACGGTGTTGACGAACTCGTTGAACTTGAGGCGGTAGAGCACCGTGGTCTTGCCCGCCGAGTCCAGGCCCAGCATGACGATGTGCAGGGACTGGAAGGCGGAGATGTTGGACGAGATGTTCCCCATGGCCACGGCTCCCGGCCGCGCTCACAGCCCCGCGCCCATCGCCGCGCCCGCAGCGGGGGCACGGCTCGGGGCGGCTCGGAGCCAGCCGGGACCGGGGATGTGGGGTGTGCGATCGGGGATATGGGATCGGGGATATGGGATCGGGAACACGCAGCGCGGCTCCACGCGGCGGCAGCGCGCCGGGACTGCCGAGCCTCGCCCCGCCCGGCAGGAGGAGGAGGAGGAGGAGGAAGAGAAAGAGGAGGAGAGCAGCAGGAGGAGGAGGAGGAGGAGGAGGAGGGGCTGCGCCGCCGCCTTCCTCCCGCTCCGCCCCGCGCCCTGCCCGCACCGCCCCTGTCTGCACCGCCCCTGCCCGAGCTTCACCTCACCCTGCCCGAGCTCACCTGGGAGCGCCCGAGCTCACCTGAGAGTGCCCGAGCTCACCTGAGAGTGCCCGAGCTCTCCTGGCCCTGCCCGAGCTCTGCTGGCCCTGCCCGAGCTCCTGCTCCTCGGGGACAGCCATCCCCCCGTGCTGGAGGCTTGGTTATCCTTATATTTGTCGTTGTGAGCGACGGCAGCAACCAGTAGAAAAAACTCCCTTAAAAAGAGTAACCAAGCCAAGGTGGGGCTGCTCCATCCCTGGAAGTGCCTAAGGCCAGGTTGGACAGGGCTTGGAGCAACCTGGGAGAGTGGAAAGTGTCCCTGCTTGTGGGATGAGATGTTTTTTTCAGGTCCTTTCCACCCCAAACCATTCTGGGATTCTGGGATTGTTCCTTGCACGTGAGACACCAGGGGCTGGCACCAGTTTTTGTAACACAAAAACTACAGCTTTTTTCAGGGACACCAGTGATGATTCAAGCTGGAAAGCAGCAGAGCAATGTGGAGCATCTGTGTCCCCTGCAGCTGTCACAGAGAGGTGCTGCAGGGGAAAAAAATCTCACCTGTGCTGGATCCAGGGCAGGGCTGGCACTAATGTTGATCTCCACTGTTAATGCCTTTTGGGTCTCGTATTCTGCAAAGGTTGTGAGTGCCTCAATCTCGGGTTGGCTGTTCTATTCTCTGCCCCGAGATGTGCAGGATGTCTCTGCTTCAGCCCTCGCGGCTGAAGAACGGGTCTGGACTCTTCACTTTTCGGTCTTGAAGTTGTTTACTAATTCTTATCCATAAAATTTTCTTTCTGCCCAGCCAAGATCTGCTCAGCAAGGCAGCCACAAGCACTCTGACCACCTTTGGGGCGATGTTGTCCTTTTATACTACAAAAAACATATAACCCTTAATTCCCCATACCTATAACCTATGTTAGACAGTGCACTTCTACTCTAAACCAATCCCCAAGTGCCAACATCACTGCAGAAAATGGAGAACAAGAAGAAGAAAGAAGGACTAGACACACCCTGATTCCTCCATCTTGTCCCTATATCCCCTATACCAAAAATCCTAAAATCTACATTTTCACCCTGTGGATGTTTTATTGTTACACTATTCAAACCTGTGTGACTTTCACGTCCTCATACAAAACTGGCAACTCATTGGAAGGGTCAAAATCAAATCCCCAGGTGTTCTGGGCAGCATGCCAGGGTCTCTGAGCCCCCTGAGGGGGTCCTTGGCAACTCTGGACATCCGAAGGGATGTGCTGAGTTCCCACACCTCAAGCCCTGATAAAGGTCCTGAGGTCTCAGGATAGCCGAGCCATGGAACTTCTGTCCCAGTTACTCACAGAAGGGACCTCAAAGATCTACTTCCAACTAAATACCCAGTTCCATGCTCCTGCCATGGGCAGGGACACCTTGCACTACCCCAGGTTGCTCCAAGCCCCAACCAGCCCGACCTTGAACAGTTCCCAGCAATCCCAGCTTTTTTGCCAGCACCTGAGCCAGAGCTTTTGTCTTTATTTCTGCTCTGGGTGCTACAATATGACCCATTGCCTCTTTTACAGCCTCTGTAAAATAAATATCGACTCTATGTGACAGCTCAGCCAAAAAGCCCCAGAGAAAGAAGAGCACTGCACAAGACAGATATTGCTTTTAATTTAGGATGCTTTCACCCCTCAGCGTGCGGTGAGGATTTGTCGGGCTGGAGTGGGATCGTTCCTCACACTCATATTTCATCCCGAGGATGCGTGTGGAGGCTTTGTGAGGAGATAAGGTTCCCTGTTAACACATGACATCATTAAACATACAGGCAGCTTGCTCCTGCAGCCCTCAGAGGTGACACTGGGCACGGTTTTGTGGGAATCATCGAGTGGTGACAGCGGGAAAAGAGCAGGGAACTCAATACAGGTGTGAGAAACACTCCATGCCATGAGTGAAGCACCATTGCCCATCCAAAGCCAAGGCACAGCCACTGGATGGGCTGGAAAATGGAAATATTTTGTGCAGCAGGGCCGCCCTGGACTGATCTCTGAGCTGGAGTGAGCTCAGGCTTTAGTCTGCCACCACCACGCCAAAGAAATGAGGATCCCAAAGCACGTGGAGAAAGCTGTAAGCGATCACCTGACTCCAGGAGCCGGAGCTTTAAGGAATAATAATAAAAAATTGCCAGAAATAGAAGAATAGGGTCATATCTGTGAGCAGCAGATCCGGCACTGGCTCCGCTCTCATCTCCTCCGCCCGAATCGCTCCAGCCAAAGCTTCCTTAAAGGCTGCAGTTCAGGATAATCCCGGAGCGAGGGCATCCCGGGCCGCTCCCGGAATCAGTGGCTCATCTGTGTGCAGTAGGGCTGGGATTTAGGGATTCACCTTCGGGCCGGGAGTGCCGGAGATGCTGTTCCAGCCAGAGAATCCCCCCTCTCCATCCCGCTGCTGGACACAGCTTGGAGCCTCAAGAAAAGCCCAAAATTCCTTTATTCCTTTCCCCGCCATCCAAAGTCTAAAGAGGACTCTTCCCTCCTGCCCACTCCTCTTTCCTCTTTTTTTTTTTTTTTTTTTTTTTTTTTTTTTCAGGGCGGTTCTAAATAAAGGCGAGATTTGCCAGCCAGGCCGATCAGACCTGGGGGTGTTCTCCAAAGCGGCCCCAGATGAGACAATCCCGAGGGGACGGAGATAAACGGGAGCGGTGAATTATGCTGCTGCTAATGCCAGCTATCCATAAATAAGCTGGTAAAACCTCCGCGGAATATTAAGCGCAGAAATAACAGCGTTAATCGCAGCTCAGAGGAGCCTGCCAAGTGCATTCGGTGGCAAATTTAGGCAGAGGAAACCCATCTTTTCCCGCCTCTCGCTGCTTTTTCTCCCCCCGTGGCCGCCCTTCCCCTCCTATCAAGGTTAAGCAGCCAAGGTTAAAGGCAGCATTAGCATCTAAATGTGTGTCTGAGGATGTGACAAAGGCACCGCTGCCGGTCCCCAACATCTCGCTCAGGCGGCGCGAAGACTGTCGCTGCCATAGTAACTGTTTTCAGACATGGCAATTATTTCTTCCCAGCTCTCCCCCATCCCATCTCCCTCCCCCCAGCTCATCCTGCGCTTCCAACTGTCTTTTTTTCATTCTCTAATTTTTTCTTCTTCTTTTTTTTTTTTTTTTTTTTTTTTTTTTTTTTCTGGGGGGGGGGAATACAAAGAGTCCCGGAGTTGAGGGAGGGATGCTCCCCGCACAGGGATTATCCCTAATAGTGATTTTTAATCTGCATCCAATTAGCCCTCCATCACCCGGGCAGAGCGAAACCCCGGAGCTTTCTGCCAAATCTCGTGAGCTGGAGAGAGGGGGAAGATGGATTTGCAGGGAGAATCCTAACTCTTGGAGCACGCAGGATCCTCTCTGCATCCGCTGCTCCTTCCTTTGTGGCATCGCTTGTCCCGATCTGCTGCCGCCTTTTGTTCCGGCGATCGGGGCAGAGACACCAGCCCAAACAAAGCGGGGCTGCAATTAGGGCTGCCCCCGCTTCTGGGGAAAATTAATTAATTAATTAATTAATTAATGGCATGCCGTGACTAATGCCTGGGATGCGGGAGCAGCTATTGGGGTCTCCAGATGCTGGGGGGATTCCTCCCTTCTTCTCCCCCCGTTTCAGGGATGAGCTCTGCCCAAGGAGCCGCTTTCCCAAGGGGCAGCAATGGGGATTCCCCTGCATTGAACGCTCATCCTGTTCCAAGTAAAAAAATCTGCTAATTTTTTTTTTTTTTGGGGGGAAAATAAGGGGTTGCAGAGTGAAACCAGTTGAACCAGTCGCTGCCAAGGTGAAGTTCTACCTGTTTGTTATTGTAATCACCGGTCGGTTTTGTTAATTGTATCGGTAAAGGCCTGCCTGAGGCTAAGTTGTCCTTCTCCTGGGACGGTGAGAGGAGGGGAACATCAGAAAATGCAAAATAACCTCGAGACCAGCATGCCATGGGAGGCAACTCCACCAAACTTACCGAAAAGACCCCAAAAACAACGAGCCAACACAGAATTAAGAGATCAGAGTGATGTCTGGACATGAAGAACAAAATACCCAGCCTGCAGAGATGCTGAGAACCTGCATTTGCCCCTCGCCCTGAGCAAAGACCTCAGCTGGAACCAAGACCCTGAGACTGCAAAAGCCAAAAGTTGATAAAAACATGGGGCTATGCCCACTGCTTTCATGAGGATGGGACCCTCCAGTTCTGCCCTTTAGTGGACTAAGCTGCACATTCCTCCTCCTCCGAGTCACCCTGGGAGCGATGATGGAGAGGCCATGGATCTGTTAAGCCTCCCAACCTTGAGCTGATCACTTTTAATAAAGGCATTAAAAAGGAGAAAAAATCTCCTGCCCTGTTGATTTCAATCCCACTTTTTGAGCCCTGATGGAGGGGGAAAGACCTGGAGGAGACTTTTGTCGTGGTCAGCATCCTCTCCTTCCTCCCTTCACCTGCTCTTTGCCTTTCCAAGGATTTCCCACTCGCTGGGTTTGTTTAACCGGGCTCCCCCCGGAAAGGGTTAATGGGGGAGAGCAGAGCAACTCAGGGCAATGAGGAGAGACAGACAGACAGACAGACAGACACTACAGTTTTAACAGAGGTGATCCCTCTGAGCGCTCTGTTCACATGAATTTCTCCAGTGGTTTCTGGGCACAGCCTCCCCTGGGTGTTTTCTGTGATTTGTGTCACCCTCCAGCCCTCAAACCCTCTCTGGGATTGTCCCTCCCATCCCCACCCGCTCCTTCCCAGAGCTCCCGAGGCGAACACCACGGTCTGGTGGCCCAGAGGTGTCTCCAGGTGGATGGAGGATGGAAGGATGTGCGGATGAAGGGCTGGAGGGGCAATAAGAGCAGCGTCACAGCGGA